TGAAAGTTGCGGACAAGTTGCTGCGGACACACACACACACACACACACACACACACACACAGACAAGCCCGTGACAATATGCGTTTTGTACTGCTGTTACGCAGTACAAGCGCATAAAAAATGCAGTAAGTCTGAAGAGATACTCATACTGTCTTACTGGAAAATTAGACAAAAATGGAGGAGGGTAGTATACACAACGCAGCGATTGTTACGATAAGTTTGGGCTGGAAAATTTCTAAGTCTTGTAAATTAGCGACGGTACTGTCAGTTAGCATCCGCCCTGTTAATGAAAACGGCAAATTTGTAAAATTTCTTCCTTGCAAAAAACTAGCATGAGATCATCATTCAAAAAAAAAACCATCGAACGGCAAAACACCGGCTGATTTTATCGGTTTTGTTCAAATTACACTGGTGGTCGTGCTCACCCAAAAAATAGACTGGCCTTTATCAACGGATTTTTTTTAGATTAACATGACAAACCCTGCACTTTTAGTCCCTACTTAAAATGAAAAAGATCGGACTTTAATTCATTTTATGACCAGCTGGTGCTAAATTTCCGGACGACATACGAACATTTCACTTAGAAATTCAAAAGTAATAAAAGAGAAACCTTCGCCATTCGCGAAGTCCTGCTGTTCTGCTTGAGGTCGAATTTCATCCTGCAGCTTTTTCTTATCATGTTCTCCGTGGTACGCGACCTAAAAAAGATACAATTAGACAAAGCATATCTTCCTTAGCTCGAAAAAAAAAGCAACCAGGAGACGCACAAATTCTTCTGCATTTGTCCATTTTCAATGAAGGTGCTCAAAAGAGCCATCAGGTTTATCCCGTTAGATCCCGCTTTTCTTATGGATTCAAAAAGATGAAGCCCAAAACTGAAGATGCCAGCACCAATTTAATATCGAAACACATTGACAAATCAGAATTTAGCAGCTACTAACTTACAGCAAAGAAGCATCAAAAGATCAGCACACTTCCTAACATCTTCCAGCCTCCCTTTCTTACTGTAACAAAATATCAGTTTTTTCCAGTTGACTGTATGTGGAGAGAACAAAAACGA